TAATCACTTGGCAGCACAAAGCTATGCAAGAAAACAGACCAGGTCCTAATGAGCCAAGTCATTCCAGAAGGTGACATTTGAAGATGCCGGCATATATGGTCTGCCTCATCCATTTGCCATTGCCTAATGAAAAAGTCGCAATTAGGGACAGGCCCAAGGAAACAAGTAAAAATTTATTACAGAGCCCAGGTACATAAGGATGGACTTTTGCTGTTCATCGGGAGAAAGGCCTGTAAAATTGAAGCAAAAATTCCTGGGCAGCACAACAACTGGAGCGGCTACTTTGAAGACTTTCCCTTTCGTGGTTGGTGTTCTTAACAATGGCGTTATCTGGGTGGGAGTACGTGTTGCTCTACAAACAGTTTTTTTCTGTCCCATTCAACACATTGCAGGCCTCTCCATCTTTAGCAATGACACTGAAATGCTTGGAAACGTAAAGAGAACTTGAAATACCACAAGCATAATCTCATCCCCAAAGTAAAACTGACAGCTTTCAGTCGCAGTCAAAGGCACTTCCTCCCGTGGAAACCCATGTGTCCTTTGTGTGTAAACATCATGTGATTTAAGCAGCTCTGACTCACAACTGGTCAGCCCCTTGGTGACACATGCCCTGTGCAACATTGTCGCTGTCTGATGGCCAACAATGTGGAGAAGGAAGTGCAGATGAACCCCGGGGCACGCAGAGGCCATGTCTACTTAACCCCCTGACCTGTCAGCCAATCAGCTGTCAGGCCTCTGCTAACGGTTGACCAGGGTATGATTTGCAGGGTCACGGGGGCTTCAGTTTGACGGGCAGCTCACTTACACACGGTAGAGACACTCCCGCGTTGACAGACAGTGTCCCTGCTGGTCCCAGTCAATAGCCACAGAGTCCAGTCAGAGCGTCTCTATTCAGCTTTGATTTCTGGAAAATTGAAGCTGACAAGCGGCCATAAATAAATTCATCTATGTGTTTGTTCTGGATTCTGTATGTGGTCTATTAAAAGCATACAAAGGCTTATCTTTTCCCATACTGAACGAAAGGCACGCTCAGTGTCTGGAGTACTTTTGAAAACAGGTGACTCACCTGTTTTGGAAACTCTAGCACATAAAAAAAGAGCATAAAGCAAAGCCCTAATCCCAGGTGACCAGAATATAATTGAGGCTTGCATTGAAATCGGCGCCCTGGTAAAAATTAAACATTGTTGTTTACTGAGTCAGGTTGTTACCTGCATGGGTGTGGTGTTGACGGAGAGGGGAGAGACGAAGAAAGGGAGCCAGTGTAACAGCAAAAGAAGAGATGCAAAAAAACACTGGGACATGTTGGAATGCTAGATTAAGGAAGAGGAGGGGGCAAAGGAGGGATTGTGCAATACCTGCACATCTGGTAAATCTATCTCATCTGGTCCATTCTCCCTGTTCACAGCTAACAAGCGTGCTCTGTCTGCAGGCTGCCATTGAGGGAAGGTTACACAAACATGCAACTTTTGTGTACTTGCTGACCTGCCTGTGTGTGTGCTTTAAAGGTAATTGAGCCATTGGTGATTACTGTGCACCATAGTTTTTTCAAAAATGTGACTGGCTCTGCATGGAAGCCCTAAAAAGAAGGATGTGATTTTAATCTCATGCTCATCAAGAGGAGGGGAGGATTAATGTTTGGTTTTCAGTGCTGACAGCACCTTCAGGGGTTATCCTTGCCTGACGCTAGGCTGTCGGACTGACTCCTTTGTCTGTTTACCGCCTGCGGAGAAGAACATGGAGGTGTCAGTCAAATTTATAACGCACATACTTAATTAAAATAGTTTGAACATGTCACTACTTTACTTTTTGTGTCAAAAAGCACTAAAAGGCCTCAGTTGGAGCGTTTATGGAGGCACTGCCTGCGCCGAGAGCTCGTTCTCCTTTGTCCAAGTATGTTGTTTACACTTGGAGCAGCTCAAGAGATGTGACCCATTCATAAATTTTCTTCCCTGCATGCGTAAGAGGAAGTGTGCCTCTCCCTCCCCCCTCTCTCTCTCTTTGCAGTCACTTCATCACTCTCTGAAGTGATGAGTTCAGTGATCAGTCAGTCATCTGTTCGTCCGCTCCTCCGGGTCTCACAGGGCTCTCCATGAGACATGGCGCTACCTGAAAAAACCTCCAGACCATCTGCTCCCAAGAAGGTCCCCAAGCATCGCGCCCTGCAGCACCAGAGCCTGCCCTCCCCTGCCCTGTGCTGCGCCTGCGGCCTGTGCATCATGCTGGCCGGTATCAACATCACCCTGGTGGGAGCTTTCGCCTTTGGCACCTTCCTCCCTAGTGCTAACCCACCCATCATCATCGGGCCTCTTCTCTTAATGATAGCCCTGGCCTTTTTCACAGCCTGCTGTGTGGTCAGCAGGAGCCCCCCGGCCCACATGACCCACAAGGCTAAAGGAGGTGAGAAGTGGGGGCTGATGCGGATGGGGACGGCGGCGTTTGAGATGGAGACGAGCGAGCACACACTGCAGGACACCACGGCCGTTCAGCTCAGCCCCACCAACTCCCCCACCTCCTCTCACAAGTCCAGCTCCAGCCACGGGGGCGACAACGCTCCACCTACAGCGTGTCAGGATGGAGCCGCTGAGCTGCACATATCAGAGATGTCTGACACTGGAGATAACCCCACCTTGACCTCTGGCAGCAAGGAGGCTGCTCAGAACACTTCCTCTACGTAGCAAGGACTTTCCTCTGCAACCTGGATGTTTGAGTGTTTAATTGTTGCTGTTTACAGGGTAGAAATGTGTCGTGCAAAACCTGATAGTAGCTTATTCACTGTGTTATGTTGAATATTCATTGCTCAGTCCCAGGATGCACATTACATTCCCAGGAACAGGAGATGACACCTTAATCCAAGTGCCTGTTTGTGTACTTATCGTTGTATTAAACATCCAGTTAAGGCAGATTATCCTGCAGTCACGCCCTATGGATGGACTGTGGTTGTCACCTTATATGTCGGGAAAAGAAGACGAGTGTGTCGAGCCGAGCTTTTCTGAGTCATGAGAGCTGGTCCTGTGTAAACCTGGTGAACAGTTTTTTCACACACTTTGACAGAAGTGTAATAATGTTACTTTTTAGTTGCTTGCATCAGCTGCAGTGAGTGAGTGAGTCAAGATCTGTGTCAAGATGGATACCCAGGAACAAAATAGTGAATGTGTATTTCATGTTGTAGTGCCATTAGTATTATTCTTATGTTGCTGCAGACATTGTACTGTATGTTTTATAAATAAAGCTGAACTCGTATTAATCATTTATTTGGTCAGTTATTTCAACAAAAAATGACTATTTTTCTAACATGAACAGAAACAAAACCATAAAAAAACACACACAATAGCACACACACGTCAGGCTATATAAGAAATGCACACAGGTTTGAAGATAATTCATTTGTTATCTGAGAAAGGCCAGCCGCGGCAGTGCAAACAGCTCCTTCCTAACATGTTGCCCATCACTTGGCATCTGACCCAACACCTGCTGGCAAAGGCGAGAGCCCTGTTTACTCACCATTATACATCTGCTGTCCACAAACACAACAAGACACACAGTGTGATCCTCGCACACACGGCTCAACCACTGGAAGAGATAACAGAGCTGCCTGCTGTTATTGCCACCTATTGTGTATAGTGTGTATGTGTGGATCGAGCGTTATGAATGGTTGCAGGCAGGCAGTGTGGGTGTCTGTAGTTATCCAGTGAGTCAGAAACACGACCGTAGTGTTTCTAAAAAGAGGGTGACATGTCTTGGCAACCTGAACTCATTTTACTAAACTAGTAATGAGGTCATGTTGCTCTGAAGGATGGCACAGTGAAATTAATTTAGTGCAGAATTGCAGGTTGCTGTATTTTAACACTTTACACTCTTATTTAAGTCTCACAGTTCACCTACTTGTATTTTTTTTATAATTTACTCCAGCTTTAGGTCTAAATGTCACTTAAAGACATACATGAATGAGACACGGTATTAAATTTATGAATGGAATTCAAAAGGAAGATGAGCCATACTGTCAATTTATGAAGAATATCTTTACTGTGTTCTTGTCTAAAATTTAACTAGCAACAATACTTAATATAGAACTTGAGTGTAATACTTCAGGATATGTGTATTTACTGTCAGCATTATTATGAAACAGACATTCTGTGTGAAATCAACTATTTATTTTCACTGATAAAGTTCATCTTAGCTTTCACTGAAGAAGCGTTTGGATGGATTCATAAATACAAAAAAATTCATTGTCTCACTGGCTGCTCTCTTGCAGCTGCTGCAAGAAGCCCTGTCCCATGGTTTGACATCCTCCTTGTCATTTTTCTTGTTATTTGAGAGGGTTTTAGGACCAACAAATGCATGGATCCAGTGATCCCAGTTTGGTGTGCTGGTCTTGTTTTCTGTCTGTTTGACAGGACTGTCTCTGAGCCCTGGATTTGCTCTGTCTGCAGTGTATGGCACACAGCAGGCGGCCTGCTGAGGCGGACTGGGACATGAGGCAGCCACCTGAGCTGAGTGAGTACCAGAAACCCTCTTCAGGATCAGTCTCAGACCAGTGGGGTCACTGGGAGCCTTATAGAGGAAGGATTCCCACTCAAAGTCTCCAGCTTTGGGAACAGTCTTTGAAGAACGCAGGTCAAGACGAGCGGCCTTCAGTTTGGCACCCAGGTGAAGAGTTATTGGTGGCCTCTCAGAGAGAATGAGCCGGGAAGCATCTCCTGGTTTACTGCGTACATACAGCAGCTGCAAAGTATTGAAAGTGAAGTTAATTTATAAAATCATCCTCCAAATGTTGTCAGAGAAAATATAGATACAGTGCAGACAAAAATCTATTTTTTGAGTATCAAACATTCACCTCCTGTAGCTTTAAAGGTGCCTGCAGTCCAGTTATATCTGATATCTAAGACTGACACCTCTTCAGCATACTGATGGTGGAAGCTGAATGCTCAAATGTTACATTTTCAGATCTTTCATTAGAAATATATGAGTATGTAGCCAAAGGTTGCAAAACACATTCTTTACTCAAGTAGAAGTAGAAGTACTGATTCAACTTCTTTACTCAAGTAGAAGCAAATATATATATATATAAGTATAAAAGGAAAAGTTTCTCTAAAGGACTTGTCTGAGTAGAAAGTACAGATAATGGTGTAAAAATGTAGGGGGTAAAAGTAAAAATTTGTCAGAAGTATTTGTACTGTATAGTTAATTCTCACCTCTTTATGTAGTTAGTATTCACATTGAAATACAGTTATTGGAACATCAACATTGCTCAGATAATGATTATGTAAAACACATAAATACTTTCACTTTTCAATCACATTAGCTCAGTCTTCTGACCTTCAAATAACTAATTTCATATAGTTGTAACAAGTGTGAACCTATATTGTCAATGAGTTGGAACCAACAATATCCAAATAAACCTCACCTTTGCCATTTCAACAGTGGGTAAATGCAGTCAACAGGTAGGTGGATGCAGTGTTCTTGTAATAGTTGTTAGGATTTGATGCTAAATAAGTATTGTAGGAGTTAGTCAGCAGTGTATGTTTGAGGTGCTGAAATATTGAGCTGAATGTTCAGAGATGTTAGAATTCAGATGTTCTTTTGCAGGAATGGAACGGATTGATCAATTCTGAGTGTTCTCAAGGTCAGGTTGGCACACAATTGAGGCTTTGCTTCAAGGCTAATGTGCACTTAATAGTAAGAATGATAGTAAGAATAATATGGGACAGGGATCAAGGAAATTTATTTTATTATTTTATTTTATTTTATATTTTTAACAAAACATGATTTTTACAAAACATGATTGTATAATTAAATTAAACGTTACAGTCCCTTCATGATACACACACATAGAAAATGATAATTAAATGAATAGTAGAATAACATATAGAATACAATACAAGTTATTTATATACATATATGCATACTTATATACACACAGAAAATAAATTCTGCAGTGTATTTTATATTATACAATTTTATAGTATATAGAAATATAAAATGCCCATACTGTATGTCACAAGTAAGCAAGTAAAAATGTCATAGTTTACAAAATGTAGCTACAGCCATTTTCTCGAACAACTTTGACAATTACTTAAATATTACGAAAGTGAAATGTGAAATATTGAAAGGGTTTTCAGGCCAGAAAAAAAAACTTCCTATGTACAATGATGACAAAGAAACTGTGAAAAATGAAACAGGTCCTGAACTGTGTCCATGCATGTCCCCAGTACTCTGTGTGAATTCCTCGCCTTCTCTAACGCCAACAAACATTCTGCTGTGATAATAACCATCCTAAAGGTTCCTGGTCCTAAAGGCCAGCACAATACGACCAACAGAAAACATAACAGAAGAGATTGTTGACATTAATGTGGGGTAACAGTATGAATGGCTGTACACAGTGAAGTTGTTGACAGTTATTTATTGAATCAGATATTGTGAAGATATAGTGTGTGTGTGTGTGTGTGTGAAGGCTATGTATGTGTTGGTGAATTTCATCATTTCAACAAAACAGTAAGAAAGTCACGTTGCTCGATGGCAAAGCAAAAAAAGACCATTAATTCTGTCACTTTTATGTTTAGGTTTCTTGTGAAGACACCATGATCCGCTGAATCTATTGTTACCGTGCTGGAGCCTCAGTTCTTCGTGCTGATTATCATACGATTCTTCAAACATTACTGTCAACAAAATATGTCTTTGATAATTGATAAATACATAAAATAGCTGTAATTTGCAAGGCAATCTTCATTTCATTCCACCCTACTCATTAAAGTAATTTAATAATGACAGTGAGGCTGAAGGCTCATAATCACAAAGTGTCAGTGAGAACTGAATGATGCACAAAAGGCTGAGGCTATTACTTTTATGCAAATAGCTCCTATTAGAAAGAAATAACATGTTCAGTCTGCAAACAATGAATAAAATGTAACAGTTAAAATAAATGATTATTCCTGGAGCTTCATCCTCTGATTACAAAACAAAATAAGCTCAGAGAATTCAGAGAAGAATTCAGCTCTAGTGACAGAGATCATCTACATCCAGTCTTAAGACTCCACCTTGTGGAGAGAAGACAGTTAGCTGTATTAGTGTTCATGAAGAGCATCCCTATGGATGAAGGAATCCTTTGAAGCAGTGGTCCAGACCTCCACTAGGGCTTCACGAAAGCTCCAGGCCTTCTTGGTGTGTAAGAAAACGTATTAAAGAAATAAATACAATTGGCCTGTATGTAAGAATTTAATTCATTTCTGTGAAGAAAATGAATTAAATTGCTACTTTAAAGTTTAGATTATAATTTAAAGGTCCAGTGTGTAACATTTAGGAAGATCTATTGGCAGAAATAATATTCAGAACTATGTTTTCATTAGTGTATAATCACCATAAAATAAGAGTATTTTGTTTTCAGTGCCTTAAAATGAGCAGGTCGCCTTTCATGGAGGCTGCCATGTTGAACCGCCATGTTTCTCTAATACGCTTAGAAAGGGAAGGCGGAGTGAGTGAGTTGCAATCTGCAACTACACTACAAGATGCCACCAAATCTCACATACCGGTCCTTGAAGATAACTGAAAAAAAATCTCTACAGGATAAGAGCACAGTGAACCTGAACACAAGCTACATTCACTCAGTCTTCACTCTCTGGTCTGCAGTTTAAAAAAACCAAAGACCTCATATAACAGTGGCAAACATCAGGGAAAAGAAAACACTGAATTTGTCAAAAAAGAAGTCTATTAAGTATATATGATTGTTAAAATTGAAACACAAACAGAGAATTGTATAAAATCTTCCTTAAAAAAAAATAACTTCATCTATAATATATAATATGAAATATCCAGTAGCCAGTGATAGAAAAGAGGTCCCTTAAGGAACAAAGTTGGGAGCCTCTGCTTTAAACTAATAGTGCAGGAATCATTCATCATTTAGCCTGCTGCTTTAAAATAAGGAATTTAATCAGAGAGTCAGAAATGTTGTTATTTTAAGACACATCCTCTAGTTTTCAGAATCAGATATGCATTAATTATAAGTTGCATCATCTTTAATGTTAGTTTTAAAAATACACAAATAAAACACCAATTCAGCAAATTTTTTCCAAATGTAAACAACTGGTAAAGTGTTTATGTTATACTGTCTCCAGCACTGAGTTCTGCCACTAGAGGGCAGTATCGCCATTCACACGGTGTTTCCAAGCCAGGTGAAGATGGTCGTGTTCATTTCGAGGTAA